ACCCCCGGGACCCCCCCAGAGCAGGGGGAACCCCAGCTGTGAAGGGGTCGGGGCTCTGATCCAAGGGGCTGGGGGAGCTGAGAAGCGGGGGGATGGGGATGTTGGTCGTGGGGTGCAGCTGTGATGGGGGGCTTGGAGGGGGTCCCCGGGTGCTGATGGGGGGCTTGGAGGGGGTCCCATCTCACCTGATCCTTCTTGAGAGTGATCTGCCCGATCTCCCGGTTGCCCACGAAGGAACGCGTCACCTTGTGCACCCGCTCGCCTGCCCGCACCCGGATGATGAAGTTGGGAGGGAAATACCCGACTTTCTCACCGATCTTCCCCTGGAAGGAGGCGGTGGGGGAGTGCAAGGGGGGATTGGAGCCGCTCCGGGGGTCGCAGTTACCCCCTCCCCTCGCCAGGCTGGATCCCCACCCGGCAGGTTTGGGTTCCCAACCGAGCTCTCCCTCCCGCAGCGCTCCGACCTTACCCGCCACCATTCCTCGTTGGAATCATCGACCACCGTGATCTTCTCCCCCGGCCTGGAAGGGAAGGAGGGGCTCTGTGAGGGGGGCAGGACCCCCAGCCATGGAACACCCCAAGGAAAATCCCTTTTCCTTCAGAATCAGCCCCTCGAGCCCCATGTCTGACACGGGACATACACAGCCCGTGGGCTCAGGGACAGCAGGCCCTGCACAGAGCAGCTCAGCCTTGGGAAATCCACGGAACCACAACAAGCCAAACCCCAAAAGCCTTGGGAAGGAGCCCAGGACGAGGCTGGGAACTCACGGGAAGTCCAGGTCGTCCTTCTCCAGGGCTTTGAAGCGATAAAGCGCCACGAAATAGTGAGACTGCAGGAACCCCCCTGGCTGCGGCTTCTTGCTCTGGGGGACACAGTGGGGTTTGCAGTCCCAGGGGCTGCAGACAGCCCTGAGGATCCCAGCAGGGAGATCCCACAGGCTCTGCTCAAGGCTTTGGGATGCAGGGTGAGGATGAGGAGTACCTTGTCATCTGTTGGGCTCTTCTCAGCCTTCTTGTCCCCTTCAGAGGCACCTGGGAACGGGAGGAGGGGTCACACCTCTCCTGGTGGCGCCTCCTGAGGGTCTCCTCAGCCAACGTGGGGATGCAGCGAGAGCCCCAGGGTGGGGACATCATGAACTGGGGACCCTCTTTCTGCAGGGCAAACCCACCCTGGTGACACCCCCAAACACAGCTCCCTCCCTGTCCCACGGGCTGGGCCCCCCAGCCCCGCGCTCACCACCCTCAGCTTTGCTCCCCACCGGCTTCGTGGCCTCCGGCTCCTCGTCCATCATCGCAGCCAGGGGCTGGAAGGCAGAGAGAGCTCTCAGAGGGTGCAGAAGGGGGGGGGCTGGGGGTTTAGTGGGGTGCTGGCACCACACCGGCAGGAATTTGATGAGAGCCCGACCCCACACTCACGTTTTTCTTGTCGTCCTGCCCCTTCTTGCGCTCCTTGTTGGCCATGATGACGCCCGTCCGCAGCGTCTCGAACACAGGGTCGCTCCTGTTTGCTGCGGGGGGCAGGGGAATGGTGAGGGGGGGTCAGGGATGGAACACGAGGGGTTGGGACACTCCGGGGTGGGGACCAAGGACACGAGGGAATTACCGAGCTGGTCCTTGGTGCCCGCGTACTGCTGGTCGCTGTACAGGGGGGAGCTGTAGGCTCGGCGGAACCCGGGAGGCTGCGAGGAGAGAGGAGGGGTCGGAGCATCAGGCACCCCCCGGACCCCCCTGTCAGAG